GGAATAGAAAGCTAGGAATGGGGAATATTTGTAACATCTAGACCCAACAGGAGTGACAAGAAGGAAGGCTGCTTCAGTTGAAACTAGAATTCACAGTGGGGGAACCATTCCTGCAACCACATCTTCTTTCTCAGCCAATGGTATTTCACCAGAAATCTTCATCACTGATGTGACTAAGAACACAATTACCACAGAGATTCGTGCATATTTCCTGAAATTGAGGAATGCATACATAATGCATGCAAAATATTACTATCATAAGAATTTTCCCATTTTATTTTCATTGGATGAAAAATGCAGTAATCTGACCGACTTAGTTCTTTTTTTTATATGCAATTTTTTCATATTTATTATTTCTATTACTATTATCTACATTTTAACTATGTATCCTATTATAACTCCTTCCCTCATCTCTTCCCATTTCTATCCTCCATCCCTTTTTTTAATTTTTAATTTTATTTTAAATTACACTTTATTCACTTTGTGTCCCCCCATAAGCCCCTCCCTCCTCCCCTCCGATCCGACCCTCCCTCCCCCTTCTTCACACATGCCCCTCCCCAAGTCCACTGATAGGGGAGGTCCTCCTCTCCTTCCTTCTGATCTTAGTCTATCAGATCATATCAGGAGTGGCTGCATTGTCATCTTCTGTGGCCTGGTAAGGCTGCTCCCCCCTCAGGGGGAGGTGATCAAAGAGCAGGCCAAGTTCTTATTCATAGAGAAGATTAATCATGGAGTTTCCCCCTAGTGAGTATGTACATTTTCCTTTTTAGAAAATCAAAAGCATTGAAACCTTATTCATTTTACCGAGAAGAAAGGGACATACACAGTTCAGTTGGCATGTAAGCTGGTGCCAAACCTTACATACTTAACCAACACAGTTTCAAAATGTCAGCCTTTTGATCTCTAACCTTCAGCATTTACTAACTTACTCATTAAGCCAGGAAACCTGGCTCATTATGGATTTTTCTATCATTAAAAAAGACTTATAAAACCTTAGAACATAATGCTATGGCATTTACCTACTTCTGCAATTACAAAAAAGAATTTAATTAGAGAATGAAAAAATCCAATTCTTAATTGAGCTTTCCTCATTTAAATTATGCATATTCAAACATATTTTTTACAACTTCTTTATTTCATCACAAATATACACCCAGTTTTCCTTTTTGACTTTGGGCAAATTCTTAAAGCCTAAATTTTCTCAAATATGAAGAGAAGCAGTTGACTTGGTCCATCCGTAAGAACCCTCCCAGGTGACAAATTATCTAGATCTACAATTCAAACAAGTTGCTTTTTGAAAAAGTTTAGTTACTGATGGGGGGGGGGGGTGTATATTACTCCAGATCTACAGCTTCAGAAACAGAAGTCTGAAAGTGTTCAACTGAGGAATGAAGTCATATCAAAATGATGAGTAAGAGAATTGGTACCCAGGAGCAATCATTTGAGCGGATTAAGAGAAAGCGAACAAGCAATGGAACCCATCCAAAAGCAAAGATCGTTTCATTGGCTCTCGTCAGGAAGAGGAGTTCTCTGAGGAAAAGCAATACAGTGCAATATACAAGGCGGAATAAGTACCTGCCATACCAGGCATTTGTTCTTTACATTTAACTGGCGCGCACACACCACACACAGTTACCATCTCTTTACACATTATTTTGACATTTCCAAAATGACAAAATAATGTCTCAAAAAAAAAAAAAAAAAGAATAAACATCTCCTACAAGTAAAAATTCTCTTTGCCTACTAAACAAACAAACAAACAAACAAACATGATTTTAAAATGAAAATTAAGGTCTTTTGTTTTGTTTTGGCTCTGCAATATTATTCCATAGAACTACACATTAAGTACAATTGTTCAGGGACTCTCCCCTAGGCTACCTTCCTAAGGAACTGCAAAGCATTTTACTATTCCATACAGAAAAAGGCAAAGGAATGGTTACATAAACTTCTGTAGAGGCTGCACGTCTTTGCAAATGACAGCCACACTAGCCATACTTAGGGGTGTGTGCCTGTAATGCTAGTACCTGTGACGTAGAGGCAGAAGGACCAGGTCAACATCTTCCTTGGCTACACAGAGCGTTCTAGGCTGGCCTAAGGACTGGATACTGTCTCACATAACAAGCTATAACAGTGACAGTTTAAAAACCCAAACCAAACACCACCACCACCACCACCAAAGCGTAGCCAGTGAAAATAAATTTAGGATAAGAATAAAGGTAAGCTTGCCAAAGCCCATCCCTGAAATACATTACTTGGCAACTGTCACAGAATTGAAACCCCCAAAGTTGTAAACAAAATATAGACCGTTCTTTGTTCGTGACATGTCGCGAACAAATTACCAAAATGTGCTTTCTCCTCAGGTGTCAGTTTTTCCCTCTTCCGGTGACTGATGGCTCCCAGTGTTATTACAGAAACAGATTGATCTTTTTAATGAGCCACTTTAATAGACTCCAAAATCTCACCGTGGCTGCTCATCCATGTCAGACCATATGTACCAACAAAACATTCACTGAAACAACAAAAATCTCTGCTGTCAGACAGCTATATACTCTATAAAATTTCATATAGTAGAGCAGAATATACAAATAAATAACCAGAGAAGAAGAAAATGCATATGCAAACAAGACGCAGGAAATATATGCAAAATCATACTGTAGAGACCCATATTTTCTTGGCTCTGATAAAATTCCCACAAGATACAAATGTATTTACACAATATATTCTCATTACACTTCCTCCTAACAGTAAGGAAACCTGTTTTCCAGCTCTCCATTATAAAATACAGATCAGCTTGAGAAAGAATGTTCCAAGTGAAGAAGCATTGCAGGAGATCTGACTGCAGCTACTATCCTAAGCAATCAAGCATGAGACAGAAGACTCCTAGAAGTGTAGTCTACATGACTGCATGCATGCACATAAGGAACCAGCAGAACAAGAATGCTATCTTTACATTTGTCGCAACCATCTAGTCCTTCCCCTGTTATACCTTCCTCGAAATAAATTCTCTTTCTCACAGCTTAGTACTTGTCTCCCTGAAAACGTGGAATATCTCGATACTTGAACACAGTACTCATTCTCTGTTACTTTAATGTGTTTGAACTGGCAGGAGAGTCACATGCAAACCATCTACCCTCGAGCCACATCACAGTTCACACATTCCATACTTAGATTACATAGCTCCTTTTACAACTTAACATGCTGAAGTCTTAAACAGTTACTCGGCCATAAATGGGCTGTCTCTCTCAGCCTTTCAAAGGCCCAGAGAGGATCATGGAAGAAAGAATGTTAAGGCAGAAAGATGGAGGAAGTGCGTGAAATGCTGTCTTGTGGACATGACATGGCTGTAGCACCCATGAACTTACAGTGGCTAACCTACATAAGACTAGGCCCGTCAACATTGCCTCATAGATGGGCAAGGGACTCTAAGGCACAACTCCTCCCTAGAAGCTACAGGCAGTTAATGGTTGCTAGAAGAGGTGTCATATTCTTTAGTAGTGTAGTCACTGGTGAGCTTCCCTCCTCAAATAAAGAGTCCCTACTCATGCTCACACAAGCAACCATAATTCCGTTCAATGGGCCACCAAAAGAAAAGCAGAAGAAAAAAAAAACATACCTACAAGTGTTTAGAGGACTCATGGGCATGATAGGAGGAGGAAGGGAATATTTGGTAGGGGATGTGAAGAAAGGCATATAACAGATATATAAGCATACATCATACACACACCTATGAGGACAAAGATAGAAAAATGAAATTGTGCTAGAATGTATAATTTTTTAAGTCCTATGTTGAGCAAGCCCTGGTAGCTCATGACAATAATCTGAGAATTTAGGAGTGTAAAGCAACAATAGTGTAGTAAAGTCAAGGCTAGCCTGGATTACAGAGTGAGGCATTTCCTCAAAAATCAGAAAAGGAAGTGTATGAGGAAGGAGGAAAAGAGGAAGGGAGGGAGGGAGAAATCGTATTGCAAGAGGATGGATTCTACCAGAAGAACTGCTTTAACGTCAGGAAACATGGCTTGCTTGGAATAGAAATGCGCTGACTCGTAAAGCCAGTGATGTGTCTGAGGGCAGCTCATTAAGCCTGAGATAGAGGTATCTGAGTAACTCCAAGGCTCCGAAGTTCCTGTGACTGTATGACCTCTCAAAGCTGCTTCAAAGATCAGGAGAGAGTAAACAAAGTGCAAAAGTAGGTTCTAGAATGCAGTTTCATTTTAAACACCTTCATAGTTAACACACACTGTGCAAAATGCTGCTAAGACGTCACATTCATGCTATGAATACCTGTGGCTGAAGTATTTATAAAAATAGTTCAAAGGAGACGTGGAAGTTTCATGTATCTGAAGCAGATTCAACAGTTAACCTGTGGGTTATTGGAGAGAGGTCTCCCTTTTCCCTTTTTAAGAACTCTCAGGCTTGAGGGCAGACTATCTGATGAGGTAAGTATTGGCTAGTAAACACTTTTTTTTTTTTTTCAGCAAAAGTATTATCTGTTAGCTCTGTCATATAACTGTTATTTTGAGTCAGTTCATCCTGGCATCCTTTCAGGTTTCTCTTAGTTCATATAGCATTTCTTAGATCAAATAGCTACTGCTGGGTGTTCATTGACTTAACATATATAGGCCACCTTTCAAACACATCATAATTTTAGGAAACAGAACAGTGATTTTCACAAACACTGGAGCCTAAATCTACGGTTGGGTTAAGCTACATAATAAGGGAGAATTTCAATGCTGAGGTGTATCCATGAACCCATGGTGGTACTTGGTCCTTCTGTCAATCACTCATCTTTGCATTTTGGTTTTAATAATGAAACCTTCAGTTCAGACTGCCCCCACACAGGCCAGAGACTCACTTCTCTGTAAAATTCCACGCTAGCATGGGATGGCCAGACTGGTCTTGTGAGAGATGGAGGCTACCGATTTCAAAGTGACCTAAACATGTCCTCACATTTGAGACAGGAGGAGAGGCCACAGTTAGCCCAGGGGCCTCCTCCCTCTCACCTGTCTGGAGTTCGCCTCTTCCCGTTTTCGTTCACATCGAGAAGCAGCTCTGAGGAGTCAACAGGGGAGGTGGTGCTGGCATCCAGAAGCAGCTGTTCATGCTGAGCGAGGTACTGGGCAGGGTTCTGTTTGGCCAGCCTTGCGCAGTGGAGGAGTTCACGCTGGAGCAGGGGCAGGTTGGCCTGCAAGAACACAACAGGCATGAGATGCGAACGGACAGTCAACGGCTTCTGATCTCTCTACCTGGTGGCTCTGCTGCTTAAACCCTGAAGCAGCATAAGCAATGCAGCCACATTGGGGTCAGCCCATGCTAGCCTTGGTGAGTCCGCTTCTCTCTCCTCTCGTTCCGTACTGGTAACACTTCTTTCCAGTGGCAC